GACCCCTCCTTCGGTTGCCGAGGCAGTATCACTACAGAAGTAGATTACCCCATCTTCCTTCCGAGGAGTGGCTGGTAGGTTTGAACCGCTAGCCTTCTAGTTAGCAGTCAGATGCCTCAGGCACTATGCTACCAGAGCTCCTCCAAATCACAATACAAATTTTAAAAAGAAGAAGAAGAAGAAAGTCCTGGCAATCTCCTGAAAAATCAGCCACTAAAAACACTCCTGTGATTGACTCTGGTCACCAGGCCAGCCAAAGATCCAACCCCAGATGGGTGGAGAAGTTGTGGATGCAGACATGAGCGCTGCCTCAATCTCAGAGTTGTGACTTGGCGGCGGATAGGTTAACGATAGGTTATCTTATCCTCAATTTTGTCTTCCTGCTTACACTGTGTTATAATTCGTTATCCGAGACACGACCTAAGGGTAAAGCCCAGAGGCTAGAATAACCGAGAAAGCAGGCGAAGCACGTACCTACTGAAGGTCCCAGGAGGGGGGGGGGGGGGGCGGGGCACGCCCGGTGCGCAGGCGCGGGCATTCCAGACCCGGAAGCAGCGCCGGTCGGGCATGGAGGCTGCAGCAGATGGCGTCCTGGCGAGCCGAAGTGAAGAACCCGTTCGAGGTATCTGAAGTAGATGGGAACGAGTTGTCCGGCAGGAGGTCTGGGTCTCCCGGTAGGGGACGCATGAAGGCAGCTTGTGGTAAAGGACCCGGCAAGGCCGGGCTGAGTGTGTGGGTGGCTTACCTGACAGGTGCTGGCAGGTCGGAGGGGCGTATCTGTGTGTGCGAGTGTGTGCCCAATCAGGGCGAGTGACATCGTTTGGTCCCAGTGTCGGCTCTGAGCGAGGAGCCGCTGCACGGAGGCAGGGTTGGCTTGTCAGGTGGGGCAAGGTCGAATGAGGGATTTGAGATCATGGCAGATGGAGAATGGAGACAGTTTGCTGGAGTGAAGGTAGGTAAAGGGATGTCGGAAGTGGCTCCTTTAGCTCGCTTAGGACTGGGTGTAGGGCAGGGTACTTACTCATTCTCTTGGCCCAGATGATGCTACCGTGGAGACTGCTGAGGAAGCAAAGGAGCCCGCTGAGGCTGACATCAACGAGCTGTGCCGCGACATGTTCTCCAAGATGGCCACTTACCTGACTGGGGAACTGACGGGTGAGAGGGCTCTGGGTTTTCTTCCCCCTGACCTACTGCCGTGCATCACTCCCTGGCAGCTGTGATTTGGCTGTAGGAGACCTGTGACGTGCTTGTGCAGTCAGACTGCGGCTCCTTCCTCTACTCAGCATGCCCCGAGACAGCCCTATTGTAAGTTTGAGAAGTCCTGAATGGGGCAGAAAGAGGCCTGTACCATCCTTGGAGAAGCTCAGGGAACTACTTTCAGACATACAAATATGAGTATTTAAGACAAGTTTGTGTAGGCCTCTGTTGTTATTAGGGGTCATCTAATCTGTTTTCCAACTTAGAGAGACCCTATGCACAACAGAGTGAAACACTGCACGGTCTGGCTCCATCCTCAAAATTGTTATGTTTGAGCCCATTGTTACAGCTATTGTGTCAATCCA